TTGCAGGCTCCCCAGGCCTAGAAAAGTCAGTGCCCACATGTAATAGCTAAGGGACCGATTGCATTCTCTGAGGCGGAGGCTTATAGAGGACTAAAAAGAAAAGATAAAAACCCACCTAGTCAAGAATTTTTTAAAGGTACCTAGTGGACGTCACCAGAAGATCTGCTGTATCTGTATGGATATTCTCATTTACCACCCCGGGCACAATACAGAGGACCTTCAGAAAACCTATATGGATTTCCCCCTAAGTAGTTTGGCTGAGTAGTTGAAAGAAGAAAAACTTCCCTTTATATCCAATCTAGAGTCTCCATCTTTGATATAAAAACAAGTGATCCCTCCTACATTAGGAATCTTGGTGCAATGGTCAGGTTCACCTATCTATTCATTCAGCAAATAATTACTTTGTCCCTCTTCCACCCCCGAGCTGTGCCCTACTTTCAGTACTGAGAACACACACGTGTTGCTCACATACTAGTGAACACGGAGGTAACGGGTGACCTACCATTCTTGTATTTGTTCTGAGGATGAGCTAACTGCTTCTCAGAAATTAAAATGCACTTGGGTATAGGGATGTCTCAGTAGTTCCTCAGCTGCCATCCCAAAAGATGCTACATCTCAGGAAAGGGCATGTGTTCTAGATACATATTTTGACCAGGCAAGTGTTTCAGTCAAAATGTACTCATTGTGTTAAATAAGTCCAGAGTGGGCGGTTCCAAAACCCATTGTGGCGAGTTACTATGAATTACCCTCCTACCCCCCTACATCTCGCCCACCCACTGCATTCAGCCATGAGGTTCTGGGTCTGTGGGCTCACTTTCCCTTCGAATAACATTTCCTCAACCTCCCAGAATAACTGCTGTACTTTCTGTGCGCTGGCTTTGTCAAACCCCTAAAACAGAAATGCACATTTAGTTGCATGACTAAAAGTTGTAGCCATAACGGCTTCATAATCCATGATGCTAACATATTTAAAGCACCCATTATGACAAGGTAGAAATAAGTGGATTTTGTGGTCAGACACACCAGTGCTGCAATTTTTACTCTTCTGATAAATTGCATCCCACTCTGACCCACAGTTTCTGTAACTATTAAGTAGAGATCATCTACTACATGAGTTATGAGACATATTTCAGATCTTTACATAGATATAGTGATAGGTATAGGTAATAGGTATACATACTGACACAGATATTAATATAGATACTGACACACACACACACACACACACACACACACACACACACACACTCACACACACACATATGTGTGCTCTCTTGCCATCTGCCACC